TTGACCTGGTTTCCACATAACTTTAAACCATAGTTTAAAGGAACCAGTTTCGATTCACTTTTGTAACTTTATATTTAATATTGCATTTTTGTTTCTTATTTGTTTGACTTCAAGTTAATGCCTAATTATTTTGTGTTTATTATACTCCATTTTCCACGAATGTTTCTTGATAGCATATACCCCAAAACAACTCTTTTGCTAGATTTAATCATTGAATGTCTGGGATTTATTTTTTAGGCTGGTTGCAAGCCCTCAGATATTGGGGTCATATCTCCATACAGACATCAGTTAAAGATAATCACAGACTTGATGACAAGTTCATTTATCAAGAATGTAGAAGTAAATACTGTGGACAAGTACCAAGGAAGAGACAAAAGTATCATCATAGTGTCCTTTGTAAGGAATAACGCCGATGGAAATGTGAGTAGGCTGTATTTTAGAATCACTGAGCAGATCATAATCTGGAAAGTTAAGATTTGTCCATCTGAAAATGGCTACTTATTTAGTTGTGCTTGGAAAACACAGAAATAAGTGGTAAGAAAAAACTGACTGTACAAATTTATTCCAAAATGATAAGTGCAAATATTTTAGCTAAGTAATTGAACAGTTTCATGGGTCCATTATGAAATTTGGAGTTTTGTCCTTTCGCTTTTCAAAAGAAATCTAGACCACATCCCCTTGTGAGTGTGCACAACCCCTGTTACGGATGATATCCTTTGCTGATGGGGAGAATGGAGGCTTGTATTTAGCACATGCTTGCCAGCCACACTTTCAGCCAGGAAGTGAAGCAACCCTATGTGCATACAGTGCCTCCAGGTGAGGGGAGGAATTCTGATGGCCCAAGGTCCTCCTGTTGCAGGGAGGTACTCTGTGCACATAGTTCTTCACACACTGATGGAATGCATGGTTGGCGAGAGGAATGGCCGCAAGGCGAGACCCAGCTCCCTTCTCAGTGCATGAAAAATGTTTGGATGGATACCCCAAAGATCAGAAATACACTGCTTTTCTTTTTGTTGGTGGATTGTGCAATGAAGAAAGCAGATTGCTACCTTCTTCTGATGGTGTTCTGTTCTGCTTAGTTTTATATTTGAAATACAAAACCTGGCAAGCTCAGTCAGCTGCAAAATCTTAAGCCTAGGTCAACTGCTCTTTTCTTCTGATAGCTTGGAGAACTTCTGAAGGACTGGAGACGTCTCAACGTTGCTATTACAAGAGCAAAACACAAATTAATCATGCTGGGTTGTGTGCCATCCCTGTGTCACTATCCTCCTCTGAAGAAGTTGCTTTGTCATTTGGATACTGAAGCAATGATATCCTTTTTTTGGTAGTGCATCTCTTTATTAGTTTATTTCATAGAATCATAGAGTTGGAATAGACCACAAGGGCCATCGAGTCCAACCCCCTGCCAAGCAGGAAACACCATCAGAGCACTCCTGACATATGGTTGTCAAGCCTCTGCTTAAAGACCTCCAAAGAAGGAGACTCCACCACACTCCTTGGCAGCAAATTCCACTGTCGAACAGCTCTTACTGTCAGGAAGTTCTTCCTAATGTTTAGGTGGAATCTTCTTTCTTGTAGTTTGGAGCCATTTATTTGATTTTACCATTGCAAATAAATCTCAAAATGGCTTACAAAGATAGAAATAAAAAATACATTTAAAGCATTTCAGTTAAAATAATATTACAGATATCACCAATAGTATAGAGCAGCAGGATTAGTGCCGCTTGTCAGGGAAAGGCCATGGAAATAGATGATTTCTTAGTGTTGGAAGCACACAACAATTGATGCCTCTTGAATGGCAGAAGGGAGGACACTCGTCCAGAGACATCACTACAGAGAAGGCCCACTTTTGTGTTGCCATCAAATGGCATTTTGCAATTTGTGGCACCTTCAGCAAGACCTCCTCTGAAGATCTCTGGGTTATACAGATAAAAGATTTATTCAAGGGCAGCATTAAAATTGATTGTACTTTTTTCTCTCACACGTTACCAAATATATTTTCCTTAACGTTACTTACATTTTCAGCCTTCCATTAGGGGCATGTGAAAGTGTGTATCGTTGTAACCTTCTGTGACAAGGGGGCATCAAGGTGAAAATCCTCATTCATCTGCTGCTGAAAGAATCGATTGCATTATAAGCTTGGGAGTTCCATATTGTCAAATAGATTTAATTCCACTGTCTTTTCTACATGTTAATGTCTCGACATAGTTCTTAAAATGTTAGCCATTTTAAAAACATCTCCAGGCATGTTCAGGCATTTGTTTGAATCGATCTGCAAACCCAACCCCACCCAGTATCCTGGTTCATGTTGCCATGTTGATTTAGTCCCTTTCCTGCGCTCTTGGATTTTCTTGAACAAGAGTAGAACTTTCTGCACAATCACAGGTCTTAATAAAGACCTTTTAATCACTCAAGGTGTTCTACTTGCTTTTAATGAAAAGCAAGTATAAGCTACTGCAGCCTCACTCTTTTTTTCTCTGTACAGTGAAGGCTTGGGATTGACTGAGTGGGTAGGGTAATATGCACTAGGATGTGGGGTTGGGGCTTGTGTGCATGCTTCTGTCCCCTGTCCACAGATACCATTTTTTTGTGTTCTGGCAAAATAATGCCCAAACATAGGTCATGAACATGTCTCATATTTTCAGGTTTTAAATTTGCTGCTTTTATTCAGTTCTGCTGAGCAACTCAGATGTGTGTGCAGTCTTGAACTTTGAAGTAAGGTGTGGGTGTGGGTGTATCAGAGAAAAGTTCAGAACATTATTTATTATGTTTATATCACTGCAACTTCAAAGTGGCTGGATTCAGCCCTCTGTATGTAATAAGGTATGAAATCTTAGAGGCAGCTATTACAAATTGAGGGGAGTAGTGCCTTTCACCAGTAGTGTACTACTGCCTTTCTCTCATAGCTCTCATCAGTTGACAGATTTAGAGCCATTAAAATATTGTGTGCATCTAGTCTTACAACTTGATCCTTATTGTTAAAACAAGACTTGTGAATGCCAAATTCTAGAAAGATTTTCTTAAGAGACTGTTCTTAAAAAACATTATTTAAGCATAAAAGGTCTTGTTAACAAGGAGCAGAGCTTAAAGCTATGTGGCCATCTTGCTTCACAACAATCCATGTTCTCTGTTTTCTTTATTCTTTCCTCTGTACAGCAACAAAACCCTGGAATGTGAGATTACTAATCAGATTGCTTTCGTTTTTCATACTGATTTTTCCTCATAACTTGAACTTTTGATATTATAAGTAACTCTATTAAGTAGATTTTACTAAGAAACACCTTTTGAAGCTGCTTGTTTGTAATGTTGTAACTCAGCTTTTTGGGAGACAGAACTACAGATGGATTCTGAATTTATCTTGCTGCTAATTAATTTATTGCAGTGTAGTTTCACTTTTCTATATTTTTTTAATGTTTCATAAAAGTTACTTGAAATGACAGCTAACTTAGGCCTGACTCTTTTTAATGTACAAGTTTGGAAAAAGGGTTGTACATATTACTGCATTGGAATTAACTCCTGTAGATTATAATTCCATTTAAAGACTGGAATTCATTTCTGTATATAATATGTATAAATGTTTTTACCTGATATTTGTACCAAGTTCTTAAATTTTTACCTGTTTTGTAGTATATATAATAAAATAAACTTGATTATACATTTGCATTACAAATATTTTATCTAAACTTGCAATACTGTTTACCTGTAATGGCCATTCACTGCAACCAATACAAATCTGACTAAGTCCTACTGAACTCCGTTCTGAGCATACCTGCATAGGACTTCCCTGTAAATGAAGTCCTAAAACTTACTTTCAATAAGTTTCATCTCTGACTTGACTAGGAATGCAATTGCACCCCTGCCACCCAGTGTTAATGGCTGGAGGTAGTTAGGATGTGGTATTGACACCCCCCTCTGCGGCATACTGCAGTGGAGGTCCCTGCTGTACCAAGGCAAGCAGAAAGCTATTACTGGCTAAAATGGAGCAGTGTATTGGAGACTTAGAATTTGCTGAGTCCAAAGTGCCTCATGCCAGCCTGAAAGAAGTGTAGCAAAAAAAGTGAGGGAAGCTCACCCACATTCCCCCCCAAACTAGCAAGATGGAGTTGTGAAACCACTGCTCCATCCTGCCACAATTTCCCCAGCTAATAATTTGTCAGGCTATCAACACATATACCTTGTTTATAAATAGACCACTCATGGTAATCTGTAATGAGTAAAAAAATTGCTTTCAGACAGCTAAGATATGGTTACCAGATGTCCCCGGATTTACAAATCAGTCCCCAGACAAAATCCATTGAAGTTGAACAGTGTCCCCGGATTCATTGAAAAAAATCTGGTAACCTTAACTAAGGATGAAGAGTTAAGAGTTTCCGCGCCTTTTCCCAGGTTGCCGGTGGGAAAATTGACTTGCACAAGCATGTATATATGGGCTGATGGATGGGCTCATGATGTTTTGGACTCATAACTGATTTTAAAATATGTATATAGAGTGTACTAGTATACCAACTCCAGTTTACAGCGTGGTATCCAGGTTGGATTTGGTTTTCTGTTTTGAAAATATTTTGGATTGACTTAAAACCAACATGGTGTAACAGTTTATTTGAGCTTGTTGGAGAACAATGAAATGGCAAGATCTATGTAAGTTGTGGTGGTGGGGGTAGTATTTTTTCTTTGTTGGTATGGTATGTATTTTTGCGTTTTTATGTTGTAAACCGCCCTGTGGTTGTCGGATGAGGGGCGGCATAGGATTTTGATAAATAATGTTTAAAAGAAATTAGAATAATTGAGGGGGGAGAAGTGCAGAACCCGTCTTTTCACCTCAAGGCAAAATTGAACCCCACCCCCAGCCTGGCCTGGGAATTTGGGAGAGGCTAATCCATATGGACCTAATGGTCAGGGGTCCCCTTTAATCCATATGAAGCAAATTCGGAGAATTCGCCCTGTCACGACATCTGGCTCCGGCCCCTCGCAGCGACGCGCCTCCGTCCGGGTCCTCCCGCCGCCAGGGGCGCAGCGGGCGCGGTTCCGGCGGCGGAGGGCGGAGATGGAGGAGGCGGAGGAGGGCTGGAGAAAGGCCGTGAAAGGAGCAAAGGCTGGGTCCACCTCGCTGAGCTGCTCGGGCAGCTGCTGCTCCTCGCTGGCGATGGGTAAGGAGGAGAGGATAAGCGGCGGCGGCGGCCGGGCGTGAGGGGAGCCGCAGGAGCTTGGGCGGGCGGCGGCGAAGGGAAAGGGCTGACGGAGCGTTTCTTCTCCCTCTGGGGAGGGAGGCTGGGTGGGCTCGGCCGCCGTCTGTTATGGGGGAAGCGCTGCCTTCGCTCGCCCGCTGTGGGGCGGGTATCCGCGAGGGGCTGAAGCCGCCCCTCGAGCCTCGTCAGGCGAACAACAGGTCTGACCCTAAAGTGTTTCTCTTGCACGCGTCTCCGGGGGGGGGGGGAAGGATGCTGAAAAGTCCATTGGTCTTTAAGGCCGCCGCGAGAAAGTCTCTCGCGGTCCTCTGCCCGCCCCCCAATTTCATTCCGCATCCAGGCCTTTGTGGGGTGGAAGCCCCTCTCTAGGTTCCCGTAGGAACGAAGCCCACCCCGGGCTATTAAATCTCCTATGAAAACCGGGCAGGCAGTGAAATGGCTTCGGTTTGCACAACGATGTTGATGCTCCAGTTGACGGGCTCTTGGTAGTAGCTCCCCATTATTCGCTTGCGCAGTTTCGGTAGCTTCTTAAGTAACTAGCAGTGCCTGCTTTGAATGCCCTGCCCGGAGGAGGCTTCAGGTCATCGTCATTATCTCTCCTTTAAGTTTCTGTATCCGAAGCTGGAGAGCCTGTAGGGAGGGCGCGAACTGCTGGCGGTGAAGAAGGTAGGGCTGCTTCATTATAGCTTCTTGCGGGAAAGAGTGGTTTACCATTGGCAACGTCACGGGGGGAATCATGTGCAGACGAACGGCCGTCGCGTGTTGAGCTTGGGGAAGGAGAGTCCCGCCCGCCCGCCGGCCGGCCCCGCCTGCTGCGTCACGCATCCGCTGAGCGTCAGAACGGACCTTTCCCGCAAACTTCGCTAGGCGCGTGGAGGTCCGGGGAGGGGTTCCTGCACCAATCAGGATGCCCACCCCCTCGTGTGGAGGAACTCTGCACATGAATCGGTTCTTGCGTGGGACCCTGTCTCAGAATCGCGATTGGCAGGGACTGAAAAAGTGGGCAACTCTCTGTGATTGTGATGCTGGATTGTGATGCTTGGTATTGATATTGTGGCCAGGTAGCAGCTGCTCTGGGGTCTGATAGATGCAGCCCTATCCTACAGTGGCGTAGCGTGGGGGGTGCAGGGGGGGCCGGCCGCACCGGGCGCAACATCTGGGGTTAGGGCAAATCCACAGGTTAGGGGGCGCAAATCCATGGGTTAGGGGGCGCAAATCCACGGGTTAGGGGGCGCAAATTACTTGCCTTGCCCCGGGTGCTGACAACCCACGCTACGCCACTGCTATCCTACTCAGAAGTAAGTTCCAGTTTTCAGAGGGGCTTACTTCCAGCTAACAGTGCACAATATTGCAAACGTTATGATGCCATCATATAAGGGAAGTGAGGAGAAATTACTTTAAAAAGCAGTGAGGACCACGGTTTTTTTCCTGCTAGGGTTATGCTTCTTGCAGTGCTGTAGGGGGGGGGGAGGTGGCTACCCTGGTTTTTTGCCCTGGGTGAAACCTTCAGAGGGGCACCATTGAGGCTCCCAAGTCCCAACCTGTGTGGGGGTGTGTGTGCCAAACTGGGTCTTTGACCCGGATGAAATAAAGCCTAGTTTCACCCTTGCTTTTTGAACTGGGCCTGATCCTGCTAGACCCAGTGGGGCTTGCAAACACATTTGGCAAAAATAAGCTTTCGGTCAGCATATGTTGGCTTGCAGAGTCATTGTGGTTAGTTCACTGGAAACATCAGTACATTGCAGTAACAAAAGCAAAATTTTAGGCCATCTTAAATGATTTGAAAATGTTGCAGAGCTATTATTTCACATATCTTTTATGGATTTTCATATTAAGAACTTGATGTACCTGGGGAAATGGCAAGCAGTGCTAGATTTTCCAGGCTAAAGTGCTCTCTGCCCTGATTTAGAACAGGACACTTGCCAGTGCTGCAGGTCTACAGAAATATTCTGTTCCTTCAGAGGAAAAGCTCTATACAGACACACCCTATGTTTCATAACATGCTTTTTATCCTATTCTCTTTCGCCCTTTCATTATTTATGTTTAGTTTTGGACAAGATTGTTGTGTTTTTATCAGTAAAGCAGTATCGAACTATTCTGTTCTCATTGAATAATTTTGCTTTCCCCCTTTTTAAGCTGTGAAAGACCCCACAGCTGTTGAGCGAACAAATTTATTGAATATGGCCAAACTGAGTATCAAGGGACTCATTGAATCTGCCCTGAGCTTTGGCCGAACCCTTGATTCTGACTATCCACCTCTGCAACAGTTCTTCGTTGTTATGGAGCACTGCCTGAAACATGGCCTTAAAGGTACCAAATGCATGTTTTAAAAGGGATGATTGTTTGTTTTTACCAAAGCATATTGACATTTAATTTTGTTATGTAGCAAAAGAGTATAATACTAGATTACACATTCTAGATTAAGGCAAGTTTAGGCATATAGAATTCCCTATACAGTGGTACCTCGGTTTACGAACTTAATCCGTAAACCGAGGTGTGCTTTCCCTAATGAGGCCTCCCGCCGCTGGTTCCCTTCCACTGTTCAGATTCCGTTCTTAGACCGACGTCAAGTTCACAAACCGGGACGCTACTTCCGGTTTTGCAGAGTTCATAAACTGAATCGTTCGTAAACAGGACTGTTCTTAAACTGAGGTACCACTGTATTAGCCGGCCTGTGTTCATCTTCATGGGTCCAGGATGCACACTGTAGACTTCCCTCACCTCAGTCAATCCAAGGGGGAATCTATGTGCTTCCCCACTTGGATTCATTAATATTGATGTGGGCAACTGAAGAAACCCTCTAATTTATTTTACAGGATTTTTTTACTTCTTTGGAGTCCTGCAAGTCCCTGCTATTTCTCCTCTTTGTTGGCTTCCTGGGATATGTAACCTCTACTCGCAGATTCTTCTTTGTTTTGCCTTATTTTGTCCTTGGTGTTCTTATAACATTCATTTCATGGTTGGCTGCTATGGTTTTAGAGAATCTTAGGTGCAGCAGATTAAATATGCTGATACTGTATAAGTGTTGAATATTAACCATGCTTACAAATGTTCCTTGCACTCTGATACGGCTTACCTAGAAATAACTTTTATAGTGCCATCTAGATAACAGCTGTATTAAAGTATAAAGTCAAGTTTAAAATGTAAAAATATTATATTTTCCTTCTTCTAGTAAAAAAGTCTTTTCTCAGTTACAATAAAACAATATGGGGTCCTCTGGAGCTTGTGGAGAAGTTGTACCCAGAAGCTGAGGAAATCGCTGCTAGTGTTAGAGATTTGCCTGGTCTCAAGTAAGTTGTGTTGCCAGTAAAGATCTTTTCCATTTTGGACAATAATCCTGGCCAACAGATATTTGTTTTCTGAGCTATTCCTTTTTTAAAAACTAGGACTCCACTAGGACGTGCCCGAGCTTGGTTACGATTGGCACTTATGCAAAAAAAGATGGCTGATTATCTACGATGTCTCATCTTTCAGAAGGAATTGCTTGGGTGAGTGTCCATTCAGATTTTTATAGGGTAAATTAAGGTCGGTGCTGTAATTGCTACCAGAATTGTACAATTATGTTACATTTTACTATAGCTATTGCTAAGTAATATGACAGTAAAGTTAAAACTTAGGCTCACAACTATTTTTTCTTCACTTGGTTTGCATTTGTGTTGCTTACACAGCAAAAGATCTGAGCACCTAATTTTCTTTTGTAACTGAAGTTGAGTTGACTTCCAGTTTTTCTTCTCATTTCTTCTGCCCCCCCCTTGTGCACCCCCAAAATTTATTCCAGAGGGTCCCTGAACTCTCCAGAGCGGTGGGGGGAGGATTGGGGATTGGAGAAGAAGGAAAAGCCCTGTTGCAGAACAGATGCCCTTTCATACTATGGTGGTCCTTTCCCATTTCATTTTATTTTGTTGGGAAAACTTAGATTCTGTATAAGTTGCCACTTTAGTTGGTATATTCAGTATGTTGCTCTGATCTTTTAACCACCTTGGAGTATCGGTGAAGTCAATCTTTAAAACATTTGAAAATAAAATAAATTACTGATTGACCAGCAGTTAAAAATTGATTCAAAGTATGTCAAAATAAGTTACGAAGTTTTTAAAAAAATGCATTTTTCAGCGAATTTTATGAATATCATGCACTGATGATGGAAGAAGAAGGAGCAGTTATCGTTGGCTTGCTCGTTGGGTTAAATGTAATTGATGCAAATCTTTGTGTAAAAGGAGAAGACTTGGATTCACAAGTAAGTAGATATAAAGCTATGGTCTCATACTTTTGCCTTAAAGGTTTTTTTTATGAAATGATGGGGAAATATCAGACTGATGGATCTGAATGCAGAGTATTAAAAGTTGTAATGTGCTTTCTTAAAAGAAAAAAAAAGTTTATTATTTAGCTTGATGAGTTAAATGGAAAGGCAGTTGGCTATTCCCTAAACAAAACACACTTATTTCCTTTGAAACGCAATTAAAGGCCTGATTAATGAATTGTTTCTTCTGCAGAGGAATAGTGATGGAGCTTACATGAATCGGTTCCTTTATTAGAAAGCTTTTGGCTTGGTTACAAAAACCATAAAAGTGCAACCTAGCTGCTTGTTTTCCTTTTTGCCTGATTATCCAGAAAGTCTCCAAAGATTGGAAATAGTTCTGTATAAAGCCTTCAAAGTCTTTTACTGCAGAAGTATAAATGTGTGACTGCTTGAAAGAGGAAATACATCTGGGTTAGTAATCTTTACCCTAAAAGGGTTGTTGAAAAGGGGATGGGGGTCTGAAGCGCAGATGATGCAGCTTTGAATGAAAGCTTGTCATTACCAATGATGTAAGGCCTGTTGTGCTCATGCTCTCCTACAGTAAGGCTTCATTGTACATTTCCAGTAACATCAGTGAAGTAAAGACCAAACCCGGTTTTCCTTTTTAAAAATAAAAATACAAAATGTGAATAAATCTATTTCTTCTTAGGTTGGTGTGATTGATTTCTCTATGTATTTAAAGAATGAAGATGATATTGAAAGCAAAGAAAGGTATGTTTTAACATTTCTAATAAACAAGTACATTAAATGCTTTGAAAAGGGTTTTTGTGTTTTTCTGCCAGGCTCCCTAAGGGCAGGAAGCAGAAGTGTGAGGTAAAAGGATCAGGGTGGATCAACTTGCTTTGTTTTGCTAGGATCAATGAGAGGACAAATATATGAACATCTGATCCTCTTTTACTGGAACCTCTGCAAACTGAACGCAGATTGACAATCGTGATAATTCCTGCTTCAGACTTCTTAAGTCAAGGCCTCGCTCTTCTGAGTCCCCTTTTCTTTCCTTATTTGTTTTGCCATTTCTCCTCCTGTCAGAGATAGGAAAGTGGATCTGGCCAAGGGGATAGATGAAGAACTGGCCCACCCTCCACAGCCCATGTTGACAGGTGCGTAAGGATGTCGTATGACATCAGGGACGCACTCTGGATTCTTCTTCTCTAGCTTTAGTGTGGTGCCTTTTTCTGTTGCTGTGCAGAGCGACAGGAAAAAGCGCCAAATTCAAGCAGTGGCTGGAAAGAAGAATCAGGAGTGCACCTATAGTGTGGCCCCAATTTTTCATTTGGAATTTCACCTAAAAAGTCTTACCGCTTAGCCCACAGGATAGCATCTATTACTTTGTTTCAACCATAGACTTATTATGCTTCTACGGGCTTTCAAAGATTGACAGACATGTATTCAATTGATTTCAAATATATTAGAGAATTTACAAGTGCACACATTTTGTTTTTGTTACTAAATCATGTATATTATGCAATAAGAATTACAGTGCTATCTAGTATACTGGCCTGCGTGTTGCTTGTATTGTTTGTTGTGTTAAGTTTGCAACACGGGGGTTTGTTGTTCTGTATTGTTGATCCCTCCTCCCACTCAGCTGCCCTACAGCTGAGGGGGAGACAGTGGGCGGACCATTTGGGGCAGCGTGGAGCCTGCGGGCGCCCAAGCCACCGCGTCACTCCCAGGAGAGACGCGTGGCTCGGGCACACTGCAGGCACCGCAGTGAGTGCTGCCCAGCATTTTGTCACCCCTCTCAGTGGTGACACCCGGGGTGCCCCACCCCCACTGCACCCCCCCCTTCCTCCACCCCTGCATATATGGTGTCAGATAAATGTCTAATTAAATACGTTTTCATCACTTTAGAAATGACCATATTGCTGCTATATTGGATCAAAAGAATTATGTTGAAGAACTAAACAGGCAGCTGAAGTAAGTATTTACAGAAGCATCTGTTGAATCCATATAGAGGCATCATCTTTTAAAAAAGCAATTCCAATAAAAACATGCCTTTTCTGGTACAGTAGATGGCACTGAAATCCTTTTAGTTGCATTTGGCTTAGTTTAATGGTTGCATCATATAGCTACTGAAAGGGAGTCTAGAATGAATGAAGCTGTTGGAAGACTAATGTTTCAAGTGTTTTGTCTGTTAAATAGGCTATTCTTTTAAATGTGGGCAAAGTAAGAGGAGTTTATTATTCAAATTAGCATGGTACAAATCCTGAAATTTGATACTTTCAGTCTTGCTGTTCTTTATGAAGGGGACTAAGATTGCAATCCTAAACATATTTTCTTGGGAGTAAGGATATTGCTGTAATTTCCAACTATTGTGGGAATCATTTGTGTTAAACTCCATTGATCAGTGGACATCCAAATAGGCACTAGAATGTTAAGTAAATTGCATAGTGCTATTTGTACTTGTAGGATTTGATGTGTAATTTTGAATGAGGATCTCTTTACTTTTTCAGTAGCACAGTGAGCAGTCTCCATACACGCGTTGATTCGCTAGAGAAGTCAAACACTAAACTAATTGAAGAGGTACGCTCTTTTAGCAATTCATGTGACCAATACTATCTTTCTGTTCTGCCTGTGTGTGTTGAAATATTTTTGTTTTCCTATTATTGTTCACCTGAATCTTTTTGCTTTTTTGTTCCACTTCTTTCTTAGTTAGCAATAGCCAAAAATAATATAATTAAACTTCAAGAAGAAAATCATCACTTGCGAAGTGAAAATACACTCATCTTAATGAAAACACAGCATCATCTAGAGGTATGAGAGTTCTATTTACAAAGGAAATATAATACACGGTACAAAGCAATATTAGTAAAGAGGTTGCCGTTGCTTTTTTGTGTGCATGTGCTCTCTCTAAACTGGCTCAAGTAAAATATGATAGGTGAGTGTCCTATCAAAGAGTAGGTAGCAACACAGCCATTGCAGAATCAGCAGTAAATTCTGGCATGTTGCACAGTCTTGGGCTATTTGACATACTAGAGGATCCTATCATAAATACAAATAGCAAACTCATTGTCTGAGTGCCTGTCCTTATGTGGCCAAAATGGCCTCACTAGGCTAAGGGGAAACCAATGATTTGAAAAAGCTTTGGAGGGAGGAACCTTAAGTTGGGTAGGGGGGTGGACTCCAAGAAGAACTGAGCATGCTTAGTGAGTACAGAATGTTGACTTTCAGGGCGTAATAGAAAAGTGGGAGGAGATAGAATGGAGTGGTTGGAAACCTGAACAGGAACACTCCTCTCCGACATTTTGTTTCAGATCCTACTTGTTCCTTCAATTACTGGTGTTCCAGATGTGAGTTCCTTTGCTTATATAGTTGAAACCGCATCACCACCACACAGGAGGGAGGTATCAGTAGGCTTGGGGGAACCCCAAGGCTTACAGAAATACAAACATATTTAGGAAAAAATGGTGCAAAATAACTCAATGAGGGCTAACACATTACTGTTTTTAGGTGTGTGTCTACATTTTGTTTTTAAGTGTGCACCTCAAAATGTAAAAAGAAGAATGAGATTAACAGATCTTCAGAAGCTTGTGTGTCATATAGACGTACTCTTCATCTTTAGAGAGCCAAAATTGACTGCAGCTGCCGGTGAAGCACAAGCTTGTAAAATTTGGGTTTGGCTCCATGTAATATGTGGCATTTCAGGGAGCACTGATTCTGTCAACATGAGATGGGACATTTACAGCTTACTGTGTTTTACTGAGTCAGAGAGTGTCGTTATACAATACCCTTGTCTGTTTCCCCCGCATGAAGATATGCTCTGGGGGAAAGTGATCTAAGCATGAATTCCTTACTTGTAGGTGAACAAAGTGGATGCTGAAGCAGAACTTCAGACATACAAGCACTCCAGACAAAGCCTGGATGACATGTACAATGAAGCACACAGGCAGCTTCGAGAAGAATCACAGTTGAGACAAGTGAGTGTATATCAGATATGCTATGGAGGCAGTGGGAACTTGTATATCCAGAGGCATGTAAGCTGGCTTGTCTTCTATCACCATATTTTCCCACCTTAATGCATTTGATATCTGTGCACTTCTTTGTATTTTGTAGGATATAGAGAATGAGCTGATGGTTCAAGTTGGTATGAAGCATGAGATAGAACTTGCAATGAAGTTGTTGGAGAAGGATATACATGAAAAACAAGACACTCTTATAAGCCTGCGGCAACAGTTGGAGGAAGTCAAAGGAATAAATGTAGAAATGTACAAAAAGCTACAAGTAAGAACATTTTACTGTTTGCAACTGGAAGCTAAATGAAATACAATTTTTAAGCAATACTCTTTCCCCCTCGAGGGAGGCCCACCTGTCCTTTTGAGAACTAGCTTTGAATATCAACGGATGACAGTTATTCTTACAGCTGCATTCTCGGCATAGGAGCAAGGTGACCATCAGGATGGAGGAGGCTTTGGCTGATATCCTGTTGTCAGCCTGCCACCAACTGCAGACTCTCACTCATATAACATAACGTACTCTCCTGCCCCTTGTATGATCCCACAAACTGCTCCTGAGGTTTGGGAGTCCCTCCTCAGGAGAACAGAGGTTGCAATGGGGAGGAAGAGGCAATCCCATTGTGTCGGGGGCAACCCACTCATGCACTGTTGCATGTCATCCTCATTTGCTTCAGACCAGGAGACAGAGCCAACTTAATAACCTTACTGAGGGGAAAGACTTCCATCATCTCTGATTGTTTCTACCTCATAAACTAGAAAGGAAGGCAATAGTGGTTTTAGCCACAAGCCACCCACCACCAAATTGCTTTTAAAGTTCCACTTGTTCTCCTTTTAGTAGCCCTTGAGGGGTATAAGAAAAAGGGAAATTTAGAAAGTTAAACGTATTGTCAATTTCTTTCTCCTGAAGATTGGGCTGCTTACCTGTAAGTAAGTTCCTACTGCTGCTGCTGCACGTCAATACAGCACTAGCAGTGTGGTGAGGGTTACTTTAGAGAGTTTACTGTCCAAGGCTGGGCAAGAGGGAGCAATTTCGAACGGAGAGGAAAGGAAGGAAAAAAACTGCACATCCAGACTGTAGATTTTATTATTGCCCACTTGTTAATACTCAAGTTATATAGTGTTGCAATATAATAACCACTCTTATATCATAGGTTTCAGATGATGCGCTGAAAGAAAAGAACGAAATCATTGGCAGACTTGAAGATAAAACCAATCAGATTACAGCAACTATGAAGCAGTTGGAGCAAAGGTACAGCATCTTCTTTTATTCTGCTTCTCCACTCCCCCTCAGACTCATTTCTTCTGCTTCAGTTGCCACATTCTCATATAGTAGGCACTGAGATATGACTTTGTTTTGAAGGATCAAAATGTGTTTTTTATGCTGCTTTTAGGTGCTTTGAATGCATATTTCGATTCCCTTACCTTTTTGTGCCTGAGATATCCTATTTGACTCCTTGCTAGCTGTTTCAGAATTTCCACCCCCCTTTGCATATTACATCTATCCAGAAAAGTCCCAATTGACTAAAGTAATTTTTCTGATTTCTTACTCATACATTTGAAGTTAAATGTTAAACTAGTTGAGACAATAGGAGACCTGTGATTGAATTGTCTTTTAAAAGTAGCTTTAGGGACCATGCTCAGCTTAGGGATCAGAAAGGCAGAGGGGACCCCAAGCCAATTCACAAACCCCATCCCATGTCCTCACTCCAGATTTGCAAAATGCTGCTGTCTGCAGCCTTCCAAAAACAGTAGTATGGAAACCATCACAAAAAGGCAAGGAAAAGGGCAGGCCCCCTCTGACCCCATGTAATTTGAGAACTGTAGTGGTGCTGATAATGTGTTTGGTGCTGTGCCCTTGAAGATCTTAAAAAAGCTTTCCTTCACACTGTTTTCTTGATCTAACCTTCTCAAAGTTTTTTGCACCCCAATAAAAATATTTGTCGGCATCCGTCTGTCTCATGAGACAATAGAGTGCACCTCCAGGGGTGAAGTCAAACTGCTGGAGAATCGCAGTGCCTGCTGCGACTGCAGAGACCAGTAACTTGTAACTGCTGCCTCCCATGTTCTTGCTGTGTTCTTGCAGCACCAAAGTGACACTTGTGGGATGCAGGCCTGGCAGTGTGTATGGAGGTCCTGGGATGGCCAGACAGCCTCACTAATGTGGTCCAAAGGACAGCAGAGCAATACGTTTGGCACCAGATATGCTACAGGAATTGCTGGAAGGAGGCATGCAAGGCTCCATTCCACTGTCTTAGGGACTACTCCAAATTTGTGTAGGATTTACTCCTTAGCAATTTCCTCTCCTAAAGATGTCCTGCAAGGCAGTGGGTAGCAAGAAAAATATACTTGAGGGGATTTCGGTTGGACAAATCATGTAGTGGAATAATCTGCTTCCTCCAGTGCCACAGCCATTTCACCTCCATGGTTGCTTTAAAACTTAACACCACACACATAAAACAAAACAGGCTTTTGGTTCAGATATTCTTTTGTCTCATCTAGTTAGGCACTTGATGTGTGCAGACTCTTAGAATTATTTGTTGGCCCATATATTCAGTTGGAGAAAAATCATTTGGAAATACTCTTCCATTTAAATTGGAAACATTCTTCCATTCTGAGTGTAAGTGTGTAGGGTCAAGTCGCAGAGAATCCTGAAACTACCTCCATGTCCTCAATAGCTGGGAACTTTTTGTGGGGGCGGGGGGAGAAGTGTTGTATGTCTTCAGCAGCATCTTCTCCTTCCCCAGCTCAGGAAATCACCTTTTGAAACAAAAAGAGAGTTTCAAAAGCAGTTTGTGATATTGTCATTTTTTAAAATAAACAATAAATATATAGTATTGTAGATGGTGCATGAGACAATGGATGCTTCTAAAGTAACTCTGAGGCTATATATATATGTATACTAAAAAAATGACATGTAACATGTAGGTCATTTATTATGAATACAGAAGTATGTTTACATGCTTTACTTCTCTTCATTATTTTTTTTAATGGGTGACATCTACTGCTTGTACAATGGGACTTCCAGTTACTTTTCTCCCCTCTCCAGCTCCCCCTTTCCCACCCCAAATCTGCTTTGTGTGATCCTCCACTCCTCCAGAGTATATTTATGGGGCACACGGAGGACTGCAGGGGGCAGGACAGGAAGAAGCTGCCCGCTGCACAAACAGGCACCTGTTTGAGCAATGTTGAATCTCAGATGTTGTTAACATTCATAGCCTCATCATGTGGCTGTTGACATGTCTTGCCATTGTTTTTCTTTTCAGTCTACTTAACAAACAAACAAAACATAATTATGTATTAAAACGTTAGTGGCATGAATATTCTTTTATTGACATCCTTCTTCCTCTTTTTCTTTTTCTTTTCTTCTTTATCCCAACTTCTGTGTTTCTGAATATTTTATTACCTTTATTTGTCTTTAATTTTTTATCCATTGCACATCTGAAGTGACAAAGAATTGTTAACGCAAACCAGGACTATTGCAATGTCCTTAGTGAAATGTGCCAGCAATGAAGGGCAGCATCAGTACAAGCTTGTTAAAGATATATCATTTTGAAAGATCCTCCATGTGTCTTGAAATAGTTTAATGGAGTAAAATTTGTAGGATTTTTTTAAACCTTGCTTTTAAGCCTATTTGCCCATGTATTTTGGCTTAAATAGATTATGGATCAGGCTCTAAATGTAGCAAAATAATTTTGGCATTCAAATTGGTCAATGTTTTAACATAGATCTCTGACACTGAACTCACCAACGTATTTTGTTAGTTGCCAATTGGAAGTAACTTTTTTTAAAAAAAGACATTGCAATGTTACAACTTTTGAAATGTTAAATAGAAATCTACTTTAATTTCAGCTAGCATGCTTTTTATTCTATGTTTGGTGAAGTTTGAAGATTAGATGCAGAATGGTTCAGATACTAGCAAAATAAAGTGACAATCTTTTGAGTTACACAGAACTATTTTTTTAAGGCCTGATATTTTGTCCATTTTGAATATCTTACCATAGTATACTTAGATTTGCACAAACTCTACTGTAATAAATGGAGAGTGCACAACAAATAGTACTTGGTGAATTATAGCCACATTTGGCCTTTCTGATGTAGCATCCTCTTCTGTGGAAATGAACAAAAGCACACCTTAACAGGTGTGGGAGCTCAAGAAACAAATTACATTACACTCATCACCAATCCAGACACCACCCCAAAACCTGCCGGATTGGGAGCAAGTACTTAGATTATTTACATGCTCTCATTTACACCATTCACACCATAGTAGACACACAGTTACATTATTTGGTGTGTGTTGTGTTGATTTAACATGGCACTGCTTGTGCCACCTTGATTACAATACCCTTCTTTGTGTTCTGAATTATATCAGACCATTTAGTGCACTGGTTTTCCCATTTTGTAGTGTTGATAGATTTGTGTAGTTAAGGAACAGTTAGTTTACAGGGTTTGGGATTTTTAAATTTTTTTTAAAAGAATTCATGCAAAAACACACAAAGGCACAGTCACAGCTCTGTATGTATGAATAAAAAAATCTGTATGGCTCTGCATTGATGGCATCTGTTAATCATGAATACTAAATAAAAAAATTGGATAAATGTATGGATTTTTTAAATATTATTGTAGTGAGAAAAAGAATTTGGATTTCTTGGCATTGTCTGGGTCTCTCATTTGAGTTTGTGAGTTTACCCCAAGCTTTGTTTTCATTTAGAAATGTTTCTATTTCCCCATTTTTTTCCTTTTATTTGTCTTCTTCATCCTTTACACCCAAATTCTAGCTTCAGTTTTACCCAAAGTTGATTTGAATTACACCAGATTACAACAAGCAGAGAAGGCTCAAATGGAGGCAGAGAGTGAAGACAAGAAATTTAAGCAAGACTATATGAGTAAATCTGAAAGTCTGCAGAAAGATATTACTCAAAAGGAAAAGCAAGTGTAAGTAAAGTATTTGTGGGGGAGAAGATAGCATATATTCTAACATGTGTGTCCCCTCCCCTTTTGAATGTCATTAAAGTGGAAAGCTAAATCCAGATGAATTACAGATCAGAAGTTTTAGAGCTGCATGTGTCACCACAGAATGGCTACATGGTGCATGTTGGAAGAACAGACTAAGTAAGCTGATCGTAAATTCATCTGCCTGATCTAGTAGTTTCATAGAATGCAGAACTTCTGTGCTGGGATTCAAATACCTGTTTAGGCTCATGCAAGGAGTTTGAGCAAGCCAAGTGGACTTTATTTGAACAGCTGAACCTGTTGCCCCATTGCAATCTCCTTTTGAAATTCCCCTAAGTTTGCCATACGGCACAGGAGAACGCCGTTTTGGGTTTGCTTTTAATATCTTGCTGCTTTATGCTCAGGAAACTAGTTTAACTTTGGGGAAATGTTGCCCTGATATGCATCCTCACAAGGGCTGTCCTATTAATATTTTTCTGCTATTGAAAACATTGTTTTGTTCACATAGCTTGCTCCAAACCAGAAATAAAAAGTCCTAGAAGGTGAGGGAGTGTCTGGGCCTCGTCCAGGACTGAGTGTTCTCTCATTTGGGGAGCAGTGCTCATCTGCCAACTTGCCTAACAATTGGGCATTGTTAGGGCCCAACTGCTCAGTACGTGACATGGGCAATTGCACTTTACATATCTGTAATACAATAGCAACACAGTAGTCCTGACCTGGATTGGGTTTATCATGGCTATTAAAAACAACAACAATGCATGAAATGCAGTTACACATTTCACATATTATCTAGTTTGACCCTTGAGCAACCGTGTGCACTCCTTGAGGGCTAGATGCAGCTCTCTCCCATCACAGTACCCGTTTAAGGTAATTTGAGCTGGATTTATGTATTTATTTTATTTTTTAAAATGTATATCCTGCTGTTTTTCCCCAAAGCTGCTTGCAATATAATAAAATATACCACCACCTTAAAACAACACCAGTCAGATAGTAGATAGATATCTAGATCATAAAGAACAACAGAACCATCTTATCCTTATTCTGAAAGCATTCTGTTAAAATTCTGTTAAATGCTTTTAACCCGGTTCCAAAGGGAGATTGGGAGGGATCAATGAATCTTGGTGAAGTTTGAATCAGATTTTAAGATTGCCTTTTTCATAACCTTCTTGTCAAATAATAGTTAATTTGCTTATTTTTTTCCTATCACTGATTTTGCAGAAGTCTTCTACACAATAATATAAAACATTTTAAAAGGAAATAAGTAAATCTTTATTATAATTAGCACGTGTAAAATGTTTACAGTGTTGAATTATATACATTGTACTAATTATTTCATAGTTGTGCAATTGCAGTAGGTCAATTAAAACGTATAATTGTTTGAATTACTTTTTTATATTCTGTATTTCTAGTGGCCAACTGGAAACAGATTTGAAAATAGAAAGAGAATGGCGACAAACTATGGAAGAAGACCTTAAAAGGGAAAAAGAAACATCGTCTTCCTTGAAGACAGAGACCCAACAAATCATTACTCTTAAAAAAGTAAATTCTGCAGCAAAATTTCATAAAATTTTACTGATTATGTAAGCTGTACTTTCATCGTTATCCCATGAAGCTGTATGCAAGTGCTCAGAGATCTGGAGGTTCTTTCTTCCGAGGTAGAAGTACTGTTGGTTGGTCTTAAGAGATCATTATCATTACAGGAGATAAATAAGCCATCCCATACACTCAGATTACAAGGAAGCATGGTGAACAGGAAGGGTAAATTATACTTCTTGTTTGCTCAGCTATTGCTATATCCAAAGCCACTGTGATATACAGTGGACTAAAGAGGTTTTAAGATTGTATCAGTTGAGACTTGCATATGAAACGTATTTCGTTGAATTCAAATCTTATTGTATCCCAAGAATGGGGAAACCAAAATTTGTTAAAGCCATTTGCTAGACATACCCATTAGAACGCTTGGTATATACAGATGTACTTTTAAACAGAATTCACCATGGTGCTTTTCTCACACAGAACGAGCCTAACTTCCCCTGCCTTCGCAAATGCTTTCAACAAATGTACCTATCAACAAATCAAATGCCGATTCCAAGTGTATTTTTTCTTCCCTGCTCCTCCCAGTCTTCAGGACAACTCTCTTTCCTCTCCCCTACTCCCTCATCAAGCACAGCATGAAAGCTTTTTAATTTAAACATTCGTTTTTGCATTCCTACCACTACATAAAACCAAGTTTTAAAAGTGTTGCAACACTGCTCCGGCAGTAGGATGAGTGAGTTTGTAATGTTACAAACACTAACAATCAGCACAGTGTATTCAGCCTGTTTCTGCTACAAACTGAGCAGAACGTTTCCCCCTAATCTTGGACAAGCTTGTATGACAATGGGAGCATGATTCCTATGTAGCTCAGCTTCCTGTATGTCAGCACCCTTAGAATAAAATAACTGTAATCCCTGTCTTTTGGCTATGGTGGTTGGAGCTGATGGGAGCTGGGAGCCCAACAACAACTAAAATGCCACAGGTTGCCCATCCCTGATGTAATTAATTCCAGTTTTAAAAGCCAGCCCAAATAGAAATGTTTTACAACACTTCTGAGAAGCTAATGACAGTGCTAATGTTTTCTTTGTCTTTCAGGAGTTCCTAAAATTACAAGAAAAGAACAAGCAGTTGAAAAATCTATGCCATGATCAAGAAGAAGCTCTCCAAGAACTGGCTGGCAAACTTAGCGAGTAATTTGTCTCTTTCTTTTCTTGCACACAACTAATGAAAACAAAGCCTGGTTCTTGTGCATATGTTTCACCTTAAACTTCCTCCAGCCCAGCTACTTAAGGCTTTATAATTATTTAAGTACTTTAATTCTCGTAGCAGCTTCAACCCTACAAAGCATTTTAAGTCTCAGCTAGCAGAATCCAGTGGCTCCTTTGCCTTGGTCAGTTGCCTGAGAAGAGAAGGCTAACACTTAGAATTGTAGAGTTGGAAGGGACCCTGAGGATCATCAAGTCCAACCCCCTGCAATGCAACCTTAGCATTATCAGCACCATGCTCTAACCAACTGAGCTATCCTGCCTAACAAATACAGTAATACCTCCACGAACGTCCGCCCCGTCTACCGTCCATTTCGGCAAATGTCCATGGCAAACCCGGAAGTACCGGAACGGGTTACTTCTGGGTTTGCCACATGCGCAGAAGCGCAAACCACTCCGTACGCATGCACAGAGCAGTGCTTTGTCGAGTGTCCCTTTCGTTGAGCATCTGGGGCTCCAGAACGGAACCCAGACTCAAAACAAGGTACCATTTGGCTGACGTACTTCCTGGGCTTTTTATATAGATTAGTGCTGGAGTAAGTCAGGGTTGGGAAACCTGTGGCCCTCCAGATGTACCACAACTTCCATCATTCCTGACCATTGGCCATATTGGCTGGGGCGTGATGGGAGTTGGAAGTCCAAAAACATCTGGAGGATCACAAGTTGCTCAACCCCAGTGTAGGTTTTCTCCTTTTTTCACTTGTAAGGATATTCTGTTTCATCAGTGTCTCGTAAACAACCCTTTGTTTCACATTGCTGCCAGATTACAATTTTACCAATGGCTAAGCCACCAAACAAAACCTTTCTTACCAGTTAACAGAAGTTCTTACCATCCAACGAAGGCTTTGACCTTCATTAGCAAGTAAGTTCCAAGGTTTCTTACAGAGAGGATTTCTTTGCATCTCGGAAAAGCCACTGAAGAACAGCAGCTCTAGACTCTTTCAGGGAGATAAAACCAAAGCCAATTGCTGTAAAGGCTCTGCTTCTCTTGGAAGTATCCTCTCTTTCTCATCTACAAATCATAAACAGATGCAGGGCTTATATGGGATTGTGTATTTCATTACGCAGCATGGGTATAGATCCCACATGAGTCCTGTGTCTGGATAGGGGTATGTGAAATGAACATGACTAGATTTCAATTCCAGAAATGTTTTTTGAGGTCCAGGTGTGAAAATTGGGAGCCAGGGAAACATAAGTTGTCTTGTAAATGAAGGCCTTCTGTAAGTTTTTCCTACCCTCCTGAACACATCTTCCTTACAGGGAGGTGCATGGAGGCAGAAGTGAAGGAAGTTGGAGAAAATGGGGAGAAAGGCAAGGTGTTTGTGTTGAAAGAGTATATGTCTACAGATACATGTTGGGTTGAAGGAAGTGTGGACTTCTCCACACTTCCTTCAATCCAGTCATATTTACCCCCCCTGAAAACAGGTGCATTTAATTATTCACACTATTATTCACATATCTTCTTTTTAGATCAAAGCTTAAAATAGAAGATATAAAAGAAGCAAATAAAACATTGCAGGTTAGTAATTTGGAAGGTGGGGAGGGGCATCCAGACTAATTCTTCTATTCATTTCAGACATTCTGTATTATATACTTCACTCCAATCTGTAAGCTAACGGGTAGTTAACCTTTCAAATTATAGTGTAAATTTTAACCATTAACCATTAGTATTTATAGTTTCACTGGGCCTGTCTATTCTGTCGGTGTGCTTCATTTCCTAGCTATAAATTTTTGTGGTTTTAATCAGTAAATTAGAATGTAACTCTACATCATTCCACATACATCATGCATCAACAAAATACATGTCAGTGTTTCATAGTCTAAGTCAGGTATCTTCAACTTTTTCAGACCCAGGACCCTCTTCTAACTCAAACATGCATTTGGGGACCCATTTCTTAATCTGGTGGTAGTGCGCCTGTTGTGACCCAGCTTGGATCAGGCTGTGACCCCGATCAGTTGAAGACCAGTGGTCTAAGTGGAGTCCACTCTCTATTTTATTTTCTCATATCAGTATCAGCTATTGAATCTGAAAGATGGGCTTAATTTGAGACCATAAGAATTATAAAGTTACAGACTTCCTCCTTTCTTCTCAGTAACCCACAGCCTTAGACTCTCACATATTTTGGAAAGCCACAAGCCAATAGTCAGACCCACTTTCAGCCTCTAGCAGTTAGTATTCTCACTTTCACCACTACTAACAAAGAGTATCAAGACTGAAACAATCTCTTGATAAAGGCCCTGTGTCCTAGCAGAACTACTGGTGGATCATTCACTGGTTCAATAGCTACAGTGCCTCGAGGTCGCCTGCCAGAATTTAGCCACCATAGATTACACCTACCATTTACAACAAAATTCCTGTATTATGCTGACATTTCCAGGCTTGGGGACAACCCCCTTTTATGGTCAGGGTGTGCTCTGTAAGATGACTTTTTAGTGATTTTCAGCTTTAAGAGACAGGAAGAATCACAAACTCATCTTTCAAGAATATTGTAGGGAGGCTCCCAAATTCTAGTTTTATTCTGTTCTAACACTAGCTTAGTTTGTGATCTTGATAATCCCTTGTGCTTAATTTTTTGCTACCCATTAACCTGAAAATAGTAGGACTTATTTCTGAGTAGTCATGTATAGGATTGCACTGTTAGGAGTGGTAGGTTTCAAACTGTTCCTTTGGGGTTCCACGACAGCAGGATCTACAAGGGCAGACAAGTTGCCTGAAAGACGGCTTATCCACCCATACCCATCTTTCCATACAGTGTGCATCTACATTTCATGTTCTGTGGTATCCTGCTCAGTGCCTTAAACTGTGTGTCCTACTGTGCTCCTTAGGATCCTCTCTAATGTGCAGGGCGTTGGCCACAGATGCATTGATGTGAGAGATTTCTTGATGGTAGGCTGGGTAAGGAGTTGGAACTAACATGAGTTGTCTCTTGTACTATCCTGAGGAATGTTGTCGTTTTGTATACCTGAATGGCAACTGTCATTTATTATTAGATAAATTGTATGTATGGTACCTGTTCTATTCAGAGAACATTTTTTCTCCCCATTAGGGACAGGTCTGGCTAAAGGACAAAGAAGCTACACACTGCAAATTATGTGAAAAGGAGTTTTCGCTTTCCAGAAGGAAGGTGAGAATGCATGAAAAGCTTCATTGGCTTTCACCCACTAACAACAAGTTCTGTATCCAAGTTCTGTTATTTACCAATACTTAATATTCACATTTTTACTTATGCATGTGCACTAAACCTCATCTATCACTATCAGTTAAAAAAAACAAAAAATTACTATTTTCATAGTTAACCCCACAGATCATTTGGTTCAAACTAAATCCTTTTTGTTGTTACAAATATTGCAACAAATAGCACAAACTCTGCTCCAATAATAGAATGTTCAGGTAACCATTAAACTTGCTTATTTTCCATTCATAATGGCCAAGTCACTGGCTGACATGATCCCTCCTCACATAAAATGTGAAATTTAGCTTGTAGGGTGTGTGGGTGAGAGGGAGAAATAAATATATAGATGTATGTAAATGTTTAATTGTAGCTGATTACCCTCTATTTACTTCATAAACTGTTAATTTCAAAATCTCCTTCGGGTTTCTTTTCCCACCCCTACCCATCTCGATTTAGCATCACTGTAGAAACTGTGGCGAAATTTTCTGTAATGCCTGCTCTGACAACGAACTGCCTTTGCCATCTTCGCCAAAGCCTGTAAGGGTTTGTGATTCCTGCCATGCGCTGCTCATACAGAGGTGTTCTTCCAGTGTGCCATAAGAGTCATCTACAGAAGATTTCTAAAATGTTGTTACTTCACTACAGTGGTAAGAGCTGTAACATTACAGTATAAACTCCTGCAGCGCTGGCCAATGCTTTTGTATTGTCAAAATCTAAACAGCCAATCTTAAATCTTTGTGCCATTGTGATATTCCTGCAGTGGCAGCATGTCATATTATGTGAGGTTCTGCTAATGCAGCAATTGATATGCCTGATTTTACAAATGCATCTGCTTGTGCAACACACTTTATTGTTCATCGTAATGGATATAGGCAGAATGTTTTGTATTCCCAGCATTTGCCATTTTATCATGCAGATGGACCATTCCAGGACCAAGTGCAGAGTTGTGCAGCTTTGTATGTTTCATGGCCCTCCCCACAAAAGCCATTTAAATGCAGAATTGGGAAGATTACATATAAGTAAATGCAGCTACTTCATATACTCCTGGTGACATAAACTGGCTTTCTTGGACATTATCCCTAGATAGAAGATTAAGTTTCCAGCCTTGTTAGTGCAGCAGTTTCAATATGCATGTGGTAGCTTAGCTAGAAGAATGAGAAGGCAAGCAGGTTTTTTGCATCACTGGACTTCCTGAAAGAACTTTGTCAGGCAGGTCTTTTAAGTACTTTGAGAGGAACTTGCATATTGTGCACAGGGCTTTTGAAGAGGAACTAGCAGAAAGCAGGCCAGGTGAGGAGGTTCAGGTGTGATAAAACTTGTTAGGGATTTCAGAAAGAAGTTCTTTAGTTATCCCCATGGAATGCTGTAGAACAGCAATTATAAAATGTACTAAATAAATACTGCGTGGAAGAGTAGTTAAAGGATACTGGCCGACTTGATACTTGCTTTTTTCTTTGTCAGAAATAAGATCTTTTTTAACTAAATGGCCTGAAAAATAATACAAATCAGCAAAGTTAAGAGTTCTCTAGATATTTCCACCAGACTGCCTGAAGCTGGGGCGTGAGGAAATTATATATACAGAAAAATTGGGGTAATTAAGAGATTTATATTGCTGAAGTTCAGTTGATAACACTACACTGTATACATTAGATGATTTTCTAAAAGGCATAAAACTTAAAGCAGAATTAAGAATACCTACACAATAAAAAATGCTTTAAGTACTCCTTTTAAAAACAAGTCTAGCTGAACGTTACTGTAATTTGAGACTGTACTTAGTAAGTTCACATGCACACAGAAACCTAAAGGAGGCTTTTCATACAACAAGGTAGAATTTGTACCTTGAAGGGCATATTATATACTTATGCCTAATTACTAATTCTGTTTACAAGCAAACCACCTATTCTCATTAACCTTTGAGACAGGAAATGACTTGTTAGACTAACAAGCATAGCAAACCTGTGTGCTAAATGTAATAAAACACATCAATACAAGCCCTGGATGGGATTATTTGTGCCATTTGATTTTATATGTACATCCGGTACAGCTGGAATAGAGGGAAAACATTAAATTCACCCTTTGTTTGAGATTTTTCTTTCATCTTCAAGATAGACCCCTGCACAAAACTAAGCCTAAAGAGGAAATGGTGGTGGCAGTGACAGCAAGTAGCCTTGTTGAGCTGCACAAGGGGCATTTTTGTGTCTTCAGCACTTGAGTACCACAAATTTAAGATCAGGAGGCCTTTACTTGCTTTAACCTGGGAAGAGGTATCCCACCAGGAAAATACTTCATCTTCTTTCTTTGGAACGGCTTCTGTGTCTTTAGCAGTGTATAGGGAAATTCAGCAGCTGATACTGTACCCTCTGCTGTAAATTTCACCATGAAGGTGTACTGTGTATGCTGAATTTTTGTATGCCATATAAGAGTTGTTAATGTACAGGATTCCTATGCAGCCTGTTTAGTCCTATACTAGTGGTATTCCTCAAAGTTGACCCTAAACCTACTCTCAATTCCCATCAGGTACAGAAAGCACAATAAAAGAACCACAACACTACAAAGTTCTGATTACTAGCCACTTACTCAAACTGCAGTTAGCTTGGAATATATTTAACATGTTCAGTTCAAAAGGGCAACTTTTCCATCAGCCTTCTAGCTAACCTGTTTCAGAGATGGAAGCCAATGGCCATTTGATAAGATTCTGAGAAATAAGTTGTGCCTAATCCCAAAGTTTTATTAATTTCCAAACTATTTGACAGTATTTCAAGACTGGAATGCATCCACAAAAAAGGTAGGCAAGAAATGCCCTGTGTTTTTGATACTAGAAAGCTGTTCTATTTGACAGAAATTCCTTTTCTTCCAGTGTTTGTCCATATTTACCAAATGGTAAATTAAAAATACACTAACAGTGCCGAATTGACACATTTTAGTGCTTAGCATGAGTACCATAAATTTAAGATAATCAAATAGCCTTTTCTTGCTTTAACTTTAGAACTATTTCTTCCACACAAAAAACCCCATAGATTTTAGTGGCATTGAGAATCCATTTTCAGACTCACAGCACCCACCATAAGTTACTTTTCCATTCCAATTAGCACTAGTATGGCAGATGTGATGTACTGACTACTTGCTGGGATCTTAATGGACAGGTTTTTTTAACGTCTTAATAACCTGCTCATCCTCAGTTTTTGTCATGATGTTTGGGTCAAGGAAGCTATGAGACTAACTCACCCTAGTAGAAACAGAGATGAGATTAGACTTGCCTTTTTTCAACAAAATTTCTATCATTCCTGCCACTACTGATTTAGCTATTTCAGAACAAGCTTTCAATATCAATGGTGCATGTGTGCCAAGAATTTTTTGACTAGTACAGCTTTTGTAAGTTTTAACATGACATTTTTGTAACTTTAAATACGAATGTTTGTAATCTTGTGGTTTGGACAAATTAAATATTTGAGAAATTTTCAGCAGGCCTTAGAATGAATACGGAGTTCATTATTTATCTTGTGTGTAACTACTGTTACTCTGAGGCAGCTAGTATACCTAGAATAATTGTCAGTTAATCATAAGGACCTATGTATACATTTCCATTAATCACTGGCTGTGTTGGCTACAGCTGATGGTATTTGGGAGTCCACAAACTTCTGGAAGGCCACAGATTTTATTGAACTACCAAAGGTTCCCTGCAGCTGATTTAGGGTGAACATCTATACTGAGAAAAAGTCCTGGCTCTGACACACCATTTAAGCATTTTGATTGAACTAGTTAACAATTCTCTTTCCCACCCCACTTTTGTTTAACCGTTGCTTGTTATTAACCCATCTCCTTTTAATGCAACAGCCTCTCTACATCTGATTCATGCTTCTGCAAAGCACTGCTCCAGCATAGCAATAGCATAGACTGCAGTAGCAGAGCAACTTGGTAAAAAAAACAACTTTGAATGTTTTAAAGTGAACAATGACTTGAGTTTTTGAGATGTGTCAAAACCTAAAAAGCTTCCTGTGCTGCCTTTACAGTCATACCTCAGGTTGAATGTGCTTCAAGATGAGCTCAAAATGACGTCACGCGCAGAAGCGACGAAAAGCTATGCGCGTGTGCTCAGACGTGCCGTCACTAGTTACGTTTGCTTCTAGATGCGAACGGGGCTCCAGAACGGATCCCGTTCGCATCTAGAGGTACCACTGTACAAGCAAAGCTGTGAAAAAGTAGCCTTTGAAATACATCATCTTGCTCCTTAGTTTATATACATCTCAGATAAATTGACACAACACACACTTCCTAGAATGGAGTCTATTTTGCTATCTCCCACAATAAGACATTTATTACATACATAACATTACTATCAAAAACAGGCAACAAACTTTCAATAATCACATTTGACAAATTATTGGGAAGAATTTGGAGGACAAGCAGTTGAAATGAAGAAAACTTGAATATTTAGTACCCTTTCCTGATACACAGAGAATGCTTTAAAGTGTCTTAACAGTAATTAATCCAAAAATCTTACATGTTAATGCACAGTAAGAGGACTACATATTTGTGTAATCTCATAATTTGCCATGGTCTCTATGTCTGACTGCTGGGCAAGTTTCTTAGTCCTTAAACAGGAGCCTTCAGCCAGAGGAGTAGCCTTTTAAGATTTCTAGGAAATTAAATAGTGCCTACTTCTCTATGGATGTTACTAAAATAATACTCTCTTGTTCACTCATCAAAAAATGTGATTGCCAAGGAGAGGAGTATAAAGACTAACATACTTTAAGGGTGAGATTTGTGACATGCATACATCAACTGGGTTTTTATATAGCAGTTGTGCATTAGGTCATTCCTGAACTCATGGCCTTCATGCCCAGCACAGTCTTGGGACATTCTGGTAAGGGAAGTCTTCACTGACAAAGGGATTGTATCAGATTAATTAAAAGAAGTTACCCTATGCTTTCATTTCAAATCTCAACAAATGTACTAGTACCAGTTTGATGGTGGTTTTATTTTACATCAATAAGAGAACCTACAGCATAACTGCTTTAATGAACCAAGTATCTTAAATGAACAGTTTTGGAATATGGAACATACCTTTAGGAGCAGCTAGTATAAAAAGTATCAACATCAGTGGTTTGAATATAAAAAATTTATTTAAAGTCAGAGTATGCAACAAATAAAACCTACAGAACACAGATTTCCCCATCACAATCTGTTGCTTACCAAATAATGGGAAAACACATTCCTTCAGTCATTATAAAGTTTTCAATACAAAAGAAATTAAGTTTTGTAAGAAAGTCTAGTAGACCAAGTACTGTTTCCTTCCAATATGCTTCACAGACACAATGCCACTCTTCAATACATTCCACGCCATCCACCGCCTCCCATGTTGCCTTGTCCATAGTATCCACCGCTATTTCCACTGCCACGACCTAGAAAGTAACAATAGTTACCCCACATTTGTTTAAAATGAAATACACACGAACTTCATCATTAGCATGCAACTCTTTCTCTATATGGTTTCTGTGCATGCAAACGATACAGCATTCTTGTTCCCGTGTTAACAAATACTTTAGAAGACAATGAACCTTTGCATTATAAAAAGAAACCGTTTGCCTACCTACTTAAGACTTACCATAGCCACCCAAGCCATCAGGAGTACCATATCCTCCGCTGTAACTGCTGCCCATTCCCATTCTTCCAACAGAACCATAACCAACTTGATCTAGAAAACAATGTTCACTGTTGTTAGAATATCCAGAGGCTAGATATCTTTTAAGTTTTAATTAAAAATGTAAAATCAAGCATACCCATTCCATCTCTGCCGTAACCTCCCATTCCAGAACCACCTCCAGCAGTTGAATTAAGAAACAGCTCAATGTATCGATGTTCTTTAAAACAAACAAACATAAGAAATAAACACCCATAACTGAAAAGGTAATTAATGTGGATTCATAATTATGTACATGCAGCAAGGGAGTAATTTACAAAGTGCTTTCTGCCGGGCACACTGAATAGACTATAGCACCTTTCCATACAAATGGATACTCAAGAAAGGGTTGAAAGGTCAGCAGATGTGGCTTCGTGAACAACTTGTTCAATACTTGCAAGTATAGACTCCTTTAAAAACTCTGATGTAATCAAATCTTTTAAACAACATTCTTAAGATGTGTAAAGCTCAGGTATGCTAATCCTAAAAGAAGTGATACTGGATTGTCTATGTTAGCATTTCATGTAACATGAAAGATTGCTTCCTTTCTTGGTTTTTTTGAAAAATCAGCTGTTAAGTGGAAATTAAAACTAAACTAAAATATGCAAGCAGCTTGGATATTCAATGAACTACAAAGGCAGCAATCCTGAGCTTTCAACAGCTCCAATGGTTGCTATAACTTACGCATATGATTTTTATCTTTCAACATGGCAGTCACTGCATCTTCGTGTGTTACAAATTCTACATCAGCTTCTCCTGTTGCTCTTCCATCTGCTCCAATGTCAATGTGAACTCTTATAGGTGTCAATGGTGAGAAAAACTAAAAGTGAGCAATAGTAAGTTACCACTTGCAGGAACTTTCTCATATTGAAACAACAGTTATCTTAAGCATATAATGACCATTTCACATGCTTTATCCGGGATGTCACACTCCTGCCCACATTTACACCTTCAGTTTTTACTCATTTGTTTTGAGCAACTATCATTAAAAAATAATTTGCCATCTTTTCTAATCTACATAGTCACTGCAGTTGATATTGTTTAACAGTTAACAGTCAGAAACACTTGCTGATTTACTGCGAGTCATCAAGTGATCTATTAGTACACCCTGACCACATTCGGCTTAGCTGTTATTTTTCTCCCCATTTGAAGATTTCAGATCATTTACAGTTGCAGCTGCTATAATTTATATTAAACCCAAGGTTTTTTAAAATTAAAATACCCTGATTGCATCTCAACTGCTATAAATTATTTTGAAAAAAATAGCCATTAGAGCATTACAGTAATTTCATCATATCTTCAGGAACTACTTTAAAGTTGAGCCCGTCTGTTACTGCTGCAACAGTGAAGTACTTTGATTGTTAAAGAGTCAGACCAGATTCTTAAACTCTTAAGATCTTTGTTTCAACCAGGAATATTTGTCTACAATGCTTACATTGGCAATATCGTTTTCTGTTGCTCGAAATGGCAGTCCTCTCATGTGAACAAAGTGACCACCATGAAAGCCTGAGCTGGCATCTCCTGCTCCACCATAGCCGTGGCCTCCCATTCCTAAAACACAAAAGATTCAATAAATGTATGATTTAATAAAGATGTGCACATGCATTCCCAATATGTGTTTACTCCCCCTTGAAATTGTACTAGGTTATATACTAGAAATATCCTACTCTGGTTTAACTTTCACTAGGACTTTTTTGGTTCCTTCCATGCCAAATAATTACACCCCCCCCCATTCTGACATGTAAAACAGTAGGTTTACAAATACAGTGGTACCTCGGTTTTGAATGCCTCCATAGTCAAAACATTTTGGAACTCGAATGCTGAAAACCCAGAAATAAATGCCTCGGTTTTCGAATGCGCCTCAGAAGTTGAACAGGAAACGTGGCTTCCGTATTGAGGCTTCTGCTTTCAGTTTTTGAATGTTTCGGAACTCGAACAGACTTCCGGAACAGATTACGTTCGAAAACCGAGGTACCACTGTACTCACATGCTGGGACTGACAATTTTAAAGAGGTGCACAGTATGTCTCCAACTTCAAAATAACCTGAGGAATTCAAAACAACCCCTCAGCTCTAAAAAATACCCTACTTAACAATAAAAAGTGGTTCTTTTTTCTTTGCCTTGGGAGCCAGTGAGACAGCCTGATGGTTGAGGAACAATACTATAAAACTTTTAAATCTTACCTCTACCATCTCTCATTCTGTCATCATAGCCATCATTTCCATAGCCATAATTGTTATAGCCACCATACTCATCAAAGCCACCATACCCTGTGAGATTTAAGAAGTGGACATACCATGAAACGGTCTTTTTTAAAATTCAGCTGTTATCACTGTGCATATAATCAGTACCTCTTGACATCAAATATATAAGCAAGTTTCTATTTATAAAGTTGTCAGGCTCAAAGACATGCAAACCAAGTTTCATCCACATTTAAAATCTCATTTCAGATGCCTCTCCATACCTTTTCAATCTTTAGTCACACGGCTGGTAAAAAAACTGATAGGTATCCAGATTTCAGACTTGGTATGTATTTTAATTACTGTCATTTCTGTATTTCTTGACAAAACGTCAGGAACGTGAAAATGACAAGAGCCTGTGGTCATTAGATACACATACCACCGTCATATCCACCACCTCCTCGACGCATTCTGTCATACATACTTCCACGCCCAGCTCCATAATAACCCCCTCTTCCTCCCATTGGTCTATCATAGGGTCCAGGTCGCTGTCCCATCATTCTTCGTGGTGGGTCATAGAATCCTCGGATTTCACTCTTAC